TCAAATAATCATTCAATTGTCTATCTATGCTCAATTGGGAAGGAAATAATCAGGAGACGATACGATGCTATAATCGAAACCGAGCGTTACATTATATGCAGCGAAAACTTTGCACCAGGCTATTTTTTATTGATTCTACACTTGTTAATGAAGCTGCCGCAAAATTGACCTTGATCTTGAATTTCAAACTCAAATTTCTTTCTTTTCCTTTCTACTCGTTAAACTTTCCCAAGAAGCCATAAGTCACAATCTATAATAGGTTTCTTGAAAAATTTCTCAATCCTTTAACCCTTTGCCCTCGACAAGCTTCTTTTGTTAAAAAAGAAATTAGTTCAAATAAAATGATACAGCATTGTAAATAATCATTCAAATGATTATTTATTCTCTCAGAAGGAACAGTCGAGTTCAAAAGGTTAACACTGCGTGCCTCTGATTTTATGATTTCTAGATGTTGACGTTTCGTCAACAGTTAGTTCTATCATTTGATTATTTAGACTCACAATTATGACAAATCGTAATCACATCAAACATCGCGTGGCACTATTCAACATGAGATCTGAGCGAGCAACATTTCCATTTCCTTTGACGATGGACGTGAAATTCAGCGGAATCCAGGAATTGTTTTAATTACGAAGGAGAGTCCTCTATCGAGGATCCTCCATAGAGTTCACGCTCGATGATTGGTGACGGAACGTGCACCGTGGTCCAGGTAGGTCACGTTTCGCTGACATAATTAACGAGCACGAGCTGCAATTCCCATATGCACTACTGACGCCGCCTTAACAAGTACCTCGACGAAGTCAAACCAACCTAAACCTAATCAGATATGTATAAAAGAGGGCAGCGCTAGTGACAGAATTATTCCACTCTAATCTACATTCGATGTAGGTAAAAGTTTGTTTCACAAAGAGAAGAAAAAAACAAGATATTCTTGATCGCGTGGACGCTTTGGCGTTTAATAATCGCAAACACCGCCCGAGCCACGCTGTCGTTCCCTATCAATTATCGATCGATTTGCATAGCGCGGAATGCCGTGTTGTCCCTGCCCACCGCGAGCGAGCGACTGTTACATGGCAAAAGAATTCGAAAGAACCGACCGATGAAACGATCCCGAGAGACATTCTCTCACTGGCGAGTATTGTGTGTCGATGGTGATCGTTTCCGGGTGAAAGTGACGCGAGCCCACTGAATGCGAGGGTTGGCATCCTCGTTTGATAAAAATGAGAGGCACTTTGGGGTGAAAAACGTTCTTTGGATTTTATTTACAGATAAGTGGGAGATGTTCTTCGAAGTAATGGAGAAAACAGATTGAAACTGTCACTCTCGAAATCTTTCTTACAATTTAACCTCCATTATTTTGTGCTAAGTCATTTTGCTAACGACTCTATAACACACAGCCTCTGTTTCTTTCACGTTCACTGTCTATCATATGAGAGACACATATGTATTGATACATTCCACGTTTCTTAATGAGCACGCACACAATGAAGATTGAATTTTTTTTAAAGAAATATTTCGAAACGAAATTGACACAATTTAAAAAATCGTATTTGAAAACTTATTGTTCAATGTTTGGACAACGAGCCATTGTGAATCGTAGAATCACAAAGTAAGCCTAAATTAGCTTTGTAAAATTTTAACACTGTATCCATGAAATACATTCGGAAAGGAAACAAAAATCACGCGAGTGATCTTCATCTTCGTTGCAAGAAATAAAAGAATCTTTTATTTAAGAAATTTTCTGAAACAGAACTAACGATTTGAGAATCACGAAGTAAGCCAAAATTTAACATTTCATTTTCCTTGGACTTTGTAAAATTCTAATTGTTCCGACGCAATGAAATTTCATGAAATTTTCGACATCCGATCAATTCGAAAGAAAAAGAAAAATCGATTCGAAAAATAAAAAAAAAATTGAATATCACACAACTCATCTTCGTTGAAGGGAATAAAAGAATCTTTTATTTCAGAAATAATCTGAAACAAAACTAACAGAACCATAGAGTCGCGGAATAAGCCAAAATTTACATTTAATTTCCCTCGGACTTTGTGAAATTCTAATTCTTTTCAACAGAATAAAATTCCATAAAATTCGAACGAAAGAAAGGAAAGATCAAGCCGCTCGACGTGGAAAAGTAAAAAGAAAGTAAATATCACACAACTCGCCGAACCCTTCATCTTCGTTGCAAGCTGCAATTACCATAGTCGTGTGGCATTTGATCGCGCGTTCGTTTCGCCACGAGGTTTACGATCGTTTTTCCACGATCACGAGCAGTGCCGCAAACATTTATTGCATCGGCGAGAACGCGGCTTTCGGCACAGGCGTCGCGAAACGCCTGGCGTCGTCGTTTGTCAACCGTGGCCCAGCTGCTAACTCGCGCGCACACCAGCGCCACAGTATGTGAGCTCGAATCCCACCGTGTGTCGTGTAGCCACGCTGACTGTCATCGATAAGCCACGATCGATAAACGGGACAAATTCACCGCTATCTACGCGGCGCGGCGTTACGCCCACGCGAATTTCAACCGCGAGTGACAAGCAGCGAAGCCGAGAGAACACCGGACAATCTTTCGTCCTTATAAAAAAATTTGGCGAATCTTTCCGCGAGTGATCCTCGATAACTTCGAGAATTTCAATACACGAGTCAGAGGGAGGGAGAGAAAATTAAAATTTTCTGTTTTTTGGAGAGAATTTTTCATTTCGATTTCGTTGCGCTTTCTGGCACGTAAATATACATCTTCGTCATCGTTTCACTTTGTAACGAAAATGCCTGTAGAAGGAACTTGAAGAACTTTTCAATCCCTTGACATACAATGACGTCTGGGACTATTGAATTATTAATTTGTTCTTTCATCATTCTTTTTTTTTTTTTTATTAATTAGTTTATAAGCATTGTGGTTACGACATTTTGCGGCAATATATAAATATAATAAGAGTAGAAAAATTATCGCTGTTAAGTTTACAACACAAATGTTAAAATGAAAGATAAGTATCATCTTTTGGTCATATCGAATTCCACTTAATTCATGTGTCAAGGGATTAATTTTACTCGCTTCAAGGGATTAATTTTTATAATGTGCAATTTCTTTCCAACACACCCTTCCCTTCCAATTTCGAGAAACTTTCAATTCTCGAAATAATTCTCGTACGTCTTTTCCAACTCTCGACGAGCATGGTACGTAAAAATAAGCCAAGGGATTCAATATATGTGTTCTTTATGAAACCTTCTTTCAGGTTGGAATTTTCCTCGCAGGATAGAAAAGAGTTTGACCGTGGAAAGTATCGAAGTATCTGCAGTACAATCATTTAATTTCGCTCTGAAAAATGTATAGGATAAAATATATGGAGCAAAACTGAACGCACATGTGGGATTTTAACATAAAAAATATTTATGTTAAAATTCCATTAAAAATATTTCGTTGTATATTAGCAGATAAAATATAAAAAAAATAGTAAAATACGTAGTGTATCGTAGGATGCTTTGGCTTTTCAAAAAAATTTCAAGATTATCGTCACTATTCACTATAGAAGTTGTTTTACAAATTGTTTTAGCGAAGTCAGTTTTTCACTACAATTAATTCTGACGAAAAATCGTCGATACTTTAAATTGTTATAACTTGATGAAGGTATAAAATTTCTTGACTGCTTTAAGTTTTGTTTCTTTCAAAGATATTTTAACGTCATATAACGAATGAAAAAGTGTTCCTTTCACTTAAAAAATTCCACATATTCAAAATGTCTTTAAAAACATTGAAAAAAATATTTTTAAAGACTAAATCCATGACGATTTTGAAGATTAAAGTTCCCTGTTTATGATGACATCTTAAGTTTTGCTCTGTGATTTATTCTTTTTCCTTTTTGTCATTTTGTTCAACTTTGAACTTTGGAATTAAACGACAAAAATTCAAGAAATTCTTCATCTAATGCTCAAAGTTCAATGAAATGATCGAAAAAGAAAAATCGTTACGTAACGAAAAATAGTTACGAAAAGAAATTTTTTTAATATTTTCACACGCACTTGAATTTTTACAATTTCCAAGAATAAAAGTATTTTCACCTTCTCACGTGTTTTTTACGTGATGTAAAAACATCTTTGAAAAAAATGAACTTGGGACAGTGAAGATAGAAGCTTTAAAGTATGCTTTAAAATAAGAGCCTTTCTATCGAGTTGCAACAGTTTAAATTAAATTATTTATTAATTAATTTTTAATTATTATCTGTTCAATTATTCTCCTCGCTGTATATGCGATCAAATAATTTTTAAAAATTACTGTCAAATCACTGTGATAAAAAATTTCAATCGTGTATTTCGCCAATCATCGACGCGCGCCTCGTACATCGTATTTCGAAATTATTTTATTACAACAGTTATAATCAATAATATCTTTCCTCGAACTCTGCACGATAACTCTGTCTCTAAAGTTCGTTCTCAACAAATTGAAATGGAGCCACCAACGTTACTCAATGAATTTTCAATGACCTGGAGAGCAATTTCATTCAGAAAAATACGAATCTCATCGGTGGCACGCGGTATCGTCATCGTCGAGCGTATCAGCGCGGAGATCATCGAAATCGGGGTGGAAAAAGGCCGTACGTGTGCACGCCGTTTCCGTGGAAATTACGTTTTAATCATCGGCACAAGTGCATTAAGAGCGGCGTGGTATAAATTACGCGGGAGAGGCGGATTACGTTGCTCGCTCGTGGCTGGTTGCTCGAGCTGTGTGTTGCAATTTGCTTTAGCGGCGTGCACGCGGCAACCGTTTGTGGTTTGTATTCAAATGGGCGCTGCTGCACGCTCCTTTCCCGCGTGCCTTTGCCTTTGCCGGTACCGTTAGATTCGATACGACCAACCACCGTCTCGAATCGATGCTATCGGTGTGCCCCGGTGCGATCGGCCGAGATCTCCGGCGTTATGAGTGATTCCTGTGTTCGTCCAGCGACAAACTCGCTCGCTTGCTCGCGCGAACAAAGAGTGTACGTGCAATAGGGCACGTACTCGTTTATGTACTCACCCCGAGCGGAGACAGAGCGTTCAGTGTTTCGTCGTGCAGCTCCTTCGCGTCGCTCGTTTTTTCTTCCTCCTTGCCCTCCTCGACGTCGACCAGCGACGAGCTATCCGGCCCACTGGCCGCCACTTCCGCGATCAGAGTGTCGTTCGAGTCACACTTGTTCAAATTCGTGTCTTCCGTGGTGAGAGTCTCCAGCGACAGCGCGTCGTTCCTCTCGGCCGTGCCGGGGAACACGCAGGAGGCTTCACACTCGTCCACCGTGCACTCCCGATCGTTCATCGAGTCTCTCGCATCCTCGTACACGGACGTCCGGCTTCTTCTCAGCTCAGCCTCGTTGCTTTCGTTCGCTTCGTCCTCGGTTAGTCTCGCGAGTGGTTCGTCCTCTGACTCGTCGCGATTGTCATCTTTCGTGGAAGAACTGGTTGGAGGATCGTCGCTCGACGACCGAGTGCCTTCCAAGCTGTCGTTTCTTATCGATAGTCCTTCCTCCGTCTCCGTGATTCTCTCGTCCAAGTAGTTCTCCGACTGTTTCTGCAAGAGGACGTCGAGGTCCTCCTGGTGAGATTCGTCCAGGTACCAAGAGGCACAGTGTTCCGGCCGTTTCTTCTCCGAGGAACTTTCGTCGCCTTTGGAAAGAGCACCCTTGCACTTCCTCAGGTAGCTCTTCACTTTCTTCGTCTTGCTCTTTCTCGTTTCCTGGGTTCGCGGCAAGGTGCCACCCTCCGGCTGCTGCTCGCCAGTGTCACCGACGATCCGAGATTGCGCGGCATCCGCGTCGTGCACCGGCTTCGATTTGACATCGGAGACGTCGTCGAAGAAAGGACACGGGTCGTGCTGGTCCGGGGCCAATGCCCACGTCTCCTCTCGCTCCGGCCCGCGGCGCTCTGCCGGTATCACCTGCAACAAAAATTCGTTTCCCCCAATGAAGATTTTCATTTTACACTAACGTGATCTCGCAGATTGCAAAGATCGCGTCGTCTCTTCCTTTTTACAATCTCCAAGTCGCGATTATAATTAAGTATCCTACCGTTTTACCGAGGATTAAAGTGTCTATGAATTATCTGTAATGTTACCCTTAAACTCTTAATTGAAAGATAGAGTGATCGAGAACTAAGATATTGACAAAATGTTTTTGCCAATGAGAATTTTCATTTTACACTGCAGATTGCAAAGATTTGTCGCCTCCTCCTTTTTAGAATCTCCAAGTCGGGAATATAATTAAGAATCCTATCGTTTTACCGAGGATTAAAGTGTTTATGAATTATCTGTAATGTTACCCTTAAACTCTTAATTGAAAGATAGAGTGA